AAAATTATGAATATGTGACCATTAATCACAAAATGTGACTTTTTTATCTTTATTTAATAAATATTTTTAATTAATTAAATAAATACCTGATTTTTGAATTTTTAAACTATTTACCTTATTTTTGAATTGAGGTAAAGAAAACACCTTAAATATGATTTTTTCCCTTAAAGAATTATCGAGCAGTTTCTTTGTCAAAGGCCCGGCCCATCCCAGCAGTCAATGATTCGAGGCGTAAACCCTTGCAAAACCCTAACGTTCCCATCAAATCTGATTTCTCCCTATATTAATAGACTCAGCCGCACCCATTTTGCACATCGCCTTCCTGTCTCTCCATGCGGAGCTGCTCGGTGTTCTTCTGCGTAATTACTAATTACACACTTTTAAAATCACTTTTCTAGTTTTAATTTCTTCTGTTCGTGGTTACGACTGTCTAATGAAGCACATCTGTTTTGATTTCTATTATCTGTACTCAAATCCAATACTATAAACAAATTTTAATTGGGGATGATGGTGATTTCTGGATGATGAATAAATCAGACGGATTCCCACTGATAAAATCCATGATTTCAACAACCAGCTACTTCTGACTTCTAATCATCATCATTCAATACCCCCAATTTCTCCAAATTACCATAAATTTGTTTTTTATCTGAATTTTTATTGTTTTCTATTTCTGCAAATGTAATTTATTTATATTCGTTATAATCTGCTTTTAGCGGCCGATGATGTGAGAAAATATTTGCTACTCTTGATGGGATTCATCCCATCTGATGATTCATTTCCACCAAGATCTCTGAGGCCACTACTATCTGATTATAATCTTTCTTGGCAAAATCTCGAGACAAGACATGAGCTAAGTTTTCGATTGGGATGGATTTGGAGAAGTTTAAAAAGGAGTTTATAAGACTTAAAAGTTGTTTTTGGCTCCGTTGGGTTAATTCTGTGAATTTGCTTTTGAAAGTGGCGTTTTTAGAGGAAGTTGATTCGTCGTAATTTTCTTTGGGTATGTTTGGGTCGGATTAAAATCTGATTTTAATCTAAGTCAAATCAAACAATCAATATTAATTATATTTTTTATGGTTTCTACATTTTTTCAACAACACATTTCAAAAACTTTTATCAGAATTCATTTACATCCAATTTTAATTTTCACTAAACACCCTTTAAGATAGGTTTTTTCAAAAGTATTTTGTATAGTACAAACGTGACCTAAATGTGTCGAATACCCATGATAAGGCAAGATGACTAGTTATACTATACACTTGAGTATTATAACATAACAGGCAAAAATACTAGGACTAGTTATACTATATCACCTAATGAATCTCCAAATTTTGGAGATCTTAGGCATATTTATGATTCGTTTGATATAATTTTTGAAAAGTTGAAAGAGTTTTTGGGATTCAAAAGTTACTTTTTGATTTCGTTTAAATAATTTTGTTAAAGTACTTTGGATAGTTATAAGGGCTTTTAAAAGAAACTGATTTAGGATGTGTTTGAGTCACATTAATTTGGAAGAATGTATTTTGAAATAGTAAATTGATGGAGAATGTGTGGTTGAAAAAGAAGGAAATGTTATTGATGTGATGAAAAATATTATTTTATTGAATAATGTGTGGTTGAAAATGAGTAGAAGAATGAAAAGAAAAATTTTAATGAATGTCAAACATGGCTTAATATAATTTTTTTTAAAAGCATTTTCTAAATAAAATGTTTTTTATAAATTAATTTTCAAACAAAAATTAAAATGACGTCTACCTTAAATTTCAAAGCACGAGAAGCAGGGGTGGAGGTACAAAAGCGGGGGTTGAGTATCCTCACAACATTATGGATTGTTTAAGGTCCCGTTCGGGAGGGATTAAAAGTCAATTAAAATTGAAAATATGATCGTTATTGGGTTCCACTTATCTAATAAAAGTCAACAATAATGGCTATATTTTTAATTTTAATTCGATTTTAATCCTTCGCCTAAATTTTTTTATTGTCACCAAAAATGCATTAAGTCACTAGCTCCAGTCTGGTCGCGATTATCCCAAGATTTTTAGTAATATTTTGAACGTTATATAGTGCAGTGGATTCTAATTCAATTGTAATTGTTGAATGCTTCCTTACCAAACAATTTTAGTGGAATGGAAAGTGAGCGCTTGACCCTTTATTTTTACCATTCGAAAGTCCGAGCATTTTTGGAATTACAAATTAAAATCATTACGGCTGATTTTTATTTTTATTTTTTGTGTCAACAATTGCGGCTGAGATGGGATTCCTTGAACTATATAACGTTCTAAATATTGCCAAAAGTGTAGAGCGTGTTCAGTAGAGATTAAAATCAGATTAAAATTGAAAAATTAATCGTTATTGTTGATTTTTATTAGATAAATGAGACAGAATAATAGCTATATTTTCAATTTTAATTGAATTTTAAATACGATCGAACACGCCTGCATGTGCTATGCATTTTCCCGTGTTGATTCCTTTAAAGTTAGTTTTTTGTTTTGATGACATTTCAATCCATTTGATGTGACATCTCCACCTTGGACTTGGTGGGTATGATTTTGTTCTTAGAATTTCACCCAAAAGGAATCCAAGCATCAATGAGTTCAAGAATTTGGATGGTATCATTTATGTGATGTTGGAAAAAGAAGCTTGTGCTAGGTTTTTTAGCATTGATTTTGAAAGGTTTAGAAATTTATAAAATTGGTGGAGTATAATTTTGAATGTTTCTTTCAATCCACAAAATTGGTGAATTTTGGGCGTTTCTTAGTCTTTCTTCTACTTTTAATCTTTATAAAATAATTGTTTTCAATTAATATAATTTGTTCAAAACTTACTCATAAATAAATATATATTAACTAAAAAAATTATTTATAAGCAAAAAAATTTACTTTATAATTAAAAGATTTACT